GCTAGTCTTTTCTCTGACTCTATTCTCTTTGTTCCCCATTTAACTATTTCCATGCTCACCTCTTCCTTCACTCACTACCGTTGTTTAGTTCCACTCTAACAAAAGTTGGAAGCAGGAGGGATTAGGAGATAGGACAATTTTTGTATGACTGGGTGGCTTCATATTCTCAGTTTAGTGGATGGTTAAACAGACTCACTTTTGGAAACATCTGTGGCTCTTGGGAGGCTCTCTCTCCTGTCATTTCTTTTTTTTTTAAATATATTTTATTGAGTTTTTACATAGAGGAAGGGAGAGAGATAGAGAGTTAGAAACATCGATCAGCTGCCTCCTGCACATCTCCCACTGGGGATGTGCCTGCAACCAAGGTACATGCCCTTGACCGGAATCGAACCTGGGACCTTTCAGTCCGCAGGCCGATGCTCTATCCACTGAGCCAAACCGGTTTCGGCTCTCCTGTCATTTCTATGACCTAGATAGATATCTCTCTATTTTGGGTAGTCCCTTGGGGCCAGCCCAAGAGCATAAATCCTATTGGTCAAGATCCAAGCTCATGCTGGCTGACTCATGCATGAAAAACACTCACGATACCTTGTCCCAACAAGCCTGTGTAGTAGTGCACGCTGATCCTAAGTCATCAGCTTCTCCTGGCTCACTCACCAAAGCCATTTCATTAGCCAGCTGTTCTTGGGCCTTGGACTGCTTTAGCTTTCTCAAATGTGAGTCAGGTGCTAGTCTTGATCTTCTGACCATAGGGAATGTACAAGCATCCCGCATTTTATTGCACTCCACTTTATTGCACTGTGCAGATATTTCAGTTTTTGCAAATTGAAGGTTTGTGGCAACCTTACATAGAGCATGTCTACCAGCACCATTTTCCCAACAGCATTTGCTTACTTTATGTTTCTGTGTCACGTTTTGGTAATTTTACACCACATTTCAAACTTTTCCATTATTATTCTATTTATTATGGTGATCTGTGATCAGTGATCTTCGATGTTACTATAGCAATTGTTTTGAGGGTGCCATGAACTACCTTTGTAAGACAGTGAATTTACTCTACAAACGTGTGTGTTCTGACTGCTCCACTGACCACCATTCCTCTATTGCTCTCCTCCTTGGGCCTCCCTATTCCCTGAGACACAACAATATGGAAATCAGGCCAACTAACCCTAAAATGGCACCTAGGTGTTTAAGTGAAAGGAAGAGTTGCGCATCTCTCACTTTAAGTTAAACGCTAGAAATGATTAAGCTTAGTGAAGAAGGCATGTTGAAAGCTGAGATAGGTCAAAAGCTAGGCTCCTCGTGCCAGTTAGCTAAGTTGTGAATGCAAAGGAAAAGTCTTTAAATGAAACGTGTCACTCCAGTGAATGCAAATGATAAGAAAGAGAACAGCCTTACTGCTGATATAAAGTTTTAGTGGTTTGGATAGAATATCAGACTAGCCACAAGATTCCCTAAACCAGACCTAATCCAGAAGCAAGGGCTTAACTCTCTTCAGTTTTGCTGAAGGGTGAGAGAGGGGAGAAAATTGCAGGAAAAAAGTCTGAAGCTAGCAGAGGTTGGTTCATGAGGTTTAAGGAAAGAAGCCATCTCCATAACATAAAAGTGCACAATGAAACTGCAAGTGCTGATGCAGAAGCTGCAGCAAATTATCCAGAAGATCTAGCTAAGATGACTAATGAAGGGGGCTACACAAAACAGATTTTCAATGCAGATGAAACAGCCTCATATTGAAGAAGATGTCATCTAGGACTTTCATAGCTAGAGGAAAAGTTAATGCCTAGCTTCAAAGCTTCAAAGGACAGGCTGACTCTCTTGCTAAAGGCTAATGCAGCTGGTGATTTTAAGTTGAAGCCAGTGCTCATTTACCATTCCAAAAATTTCTAGGGCCCTTAAGAATTAGCTAAATTTACTCTGCCTGTGCTCTATAAATTGAACAACAAAGCTCGGATGGCAGCACACTTGCTTACAACATGGCTTACTGAATATTTTAAGCCCCTGTTGAGACTTACTACTCAGATAAAATGCTTCTTTTCAAAATATTACTGCTTATTGACAATGCACCTGGTCACCCAGGAGCTCTGATGGAAATGTACAATGAGAGTAACGTTATTTTCATGCTTGCTAACAATAGTGGGGAAGGGCATGTAATAAGAATAGAGCCATAGTTGTCTAATAATTATTCACCTTACTATCTATAGATGAGAAGTTTTCTTACAGACCCTGGGAAACTGGAGGATGAAACAAGTCTGTAAAAAGATAAGATGCTCGATGGGTCCATCACTCAGAAAATAAATACATTTTGAGAACAGACCAAGGACAGGACATTTTGATTTGGTTGCTGTGCCTGGACCCTGACCTCTCCGGGAGTTTTTCTCAGGAATGCTGACCATTCTCTGGTCCCAGGAACAGGCTGAGCTGCTTGTAACATCATAGAAAATTAGGCACCTTGTTATTGGACTTTGAGCTCCAGAAGGCTGGACTTCAGGCCCTCCCCTCCCCTTTCCACGTTACATGTAGCTATTTTCTCCCTCAGCCAGCTGGCAAGGGGGAGTGAGATCAGAATCTCCAGGGTGACGGACTGCTCTCCCCATACTGCCGGCATTATTGGAATAAATGCTCATATATGATTCAACCCTGTCTCTGCTTAATCTGGTCCAAGTAGTGACAGGCAGCCTCGGGTCCATTGTGTCTGGTTTCACTAACACAGAATACATTCTGCAGCCCATGAATCAAGAAGTAATTTTAACTTTCAGATCTTACTATTTAAGAAGTATATGTCATAAGGCTATAGCTGATACAGATGGTGATTCCTCTGATGAATCTGGGCAAAGTAGGTTGAAAACCTTCTGAAAAGGATTCATTGTTGTAGATGCAATTCTTTTTTGACAGTACCTTCTTATTCTAGCAAAATCCTCTTTATCGTCCCCACTTCTCATTCTAGCTTCTTGTGAGAGTACTGTACACTTACTAGCTCTATTTTTTTTTAACCTCTGTTCACTGGACAATGTACACAAATTGATTGCTTTTCTAATTACTCCCTGGTCATCTCTCCTGTTACTATAATTACTAACTTCTTTGTTGATAAACCCATTGGACACTTCCTAGATCTCATCTTACATAGGAAGAGATTTCTAAATAAACAGACATCAGCAGATGCCAATGACAACGAGGCAAGCAATACCCCAGAGAATGAGAGCACAAAAGCCGGATCATTCTATCTGTCCTTTGAGCAACAGAAATGTCTTGCCACATTCTCACTAGAGGAACCATTTATGGTGTCTCACAGGATAATGCAAAAACAGACTCCTTGGAGGAGACTGCTAGCCTGCCTGTCTGTGACAAGGAGGATGTGAAAAACCCCTTGTTCAAGCTGATCTATGAATCAAGAGCCTTGTGTATGCACATATAGATGCATAATGGTGTCTGCACATTTTCTTAAGTTAGCAATTATTTTCTCTAGTGGAGGGTAGTCTGTGGGTAGGGACAAAATGGGAGACAGTGTGGGTCCTGCACATGGCCACATATGTACCCTTGGGAAAGCACAGCTCTGCCTTCTGCTGTAGGTTCCTACCCTGGCAATTCACCTGCAAAGGGAGTTTTTAATTTTCTTCCTTTAGTTTCCTATTCCCTGGGATCCAGGCGTGGAGGTTCATAGAAATAATGTCACCCACTGCTGTCAGGGAAAGGGCCTAGTTCTTGACAAAATGTTTTAATTATCAGCCTTTACCCATGGAATGCCAGCACTGGTCAGGCCAAAATTCAGGTTGAGTGAGGCTGAAATAGGGACAAAGTTTCCTGCCTAAGATAATCTAGAGCGCTAAAAGCAAGAAGCACAGCCAAGTCTGTCATACTGAAAAAGCATAAGCTCGAATGAAACAAAGCCAAGTCCAAACGATGAAACACGGAGCCAGAACAAAGAACCAGAGTGGGAAACTAGACAGAGATGGGCAGGTTAGCTTGACTAAGTGATCCAGAGTGGAATATAGCATACGGGTAGCAGTCAACTATTTGCTAGTGTAACCCAGGCAGATCATTGTAGGTGTTATTCTAACAATCGGGAACGAAAGAGGTTTTTCTTCTGGCCAAGAAGTCTCATATTTAGTGGGATGTTTTAAAGAAGAGAGTATAAAGTCAACAGATCCAGGTTTTGAAATACAGCACTTAATTAAAATAGCATGACATTCATAAAGAAAAATATGATCTAAAATCTGGAAAGAGAATGTGGGTGAAATACTTAGACTAGAAATGTAGAAATGGGGGAAACTGACATATAAGTCTACTTAAAAGCACTTCACTAGAGAATGGAACACCAAATCCATAGGAATACACACCTTTAGAAGAATAAGGAGGGAGAGAAGGTAGTACAGGAGCAGGTAAAGATACAGGAAAAAGGTTGAAAGAGGCAAGAATAGTGTATATCACGAGCCAGGAAGAAAATTTCAAAAAAGTAAAGTCAACACAGTCAAATACAAGATCATAGGAGACAATAACTGTGGTTTTTAGCCACTGGATTTGACTGGAAGGAAGTTAGTGGTACTCTCCCAGAAAAAATGTTAGTAACACAATCAGGATATATCACCAAGGTGAGCACAAGAATAAGAACCAGGGCTATGGGTTTTAGACAATTTTAAAAAGTTTGATAACGAAAGAAAAAAGAAAAACTGAAAAGTAGGTAAAAATGGCAGAGATATGGAAAAGAAAGATTTAAAGACTACCAAGAGAGGATGTGTAAATAAAAAAAATAGAAAATGCTATGTGGAGGTTTGCAACATAAAGGTATTATGTACATTCAAACTAACACCTTCAAAATAACTTTTGTGCTGTGCTAATTTTTAAATAATAAGTATATATTATCTGTTTAATCAGAAAAAAATAAGAGAGCCATTTCCACTTTGTGAAAAAGTCAAATATGAACTAGATTTTTAAGAAGTGTTCAATATTCTTTAAATCCAGAGAGAGATATTTGTAGCACACTCAGTGGAGTATTTCAAAAGTGACTATTTGCCTTCACTCAGTAGCAAATATTGAAATGCTTGCTTCTCACCTGGACGAGTGTCCAGTGGGCTGTCTCTTTCCATCATCCACTGCTCTTCTTGCTCCAACTGAGTGATCACCTCTGGCTTATAAAGTTGATGACCTATTCATGGGGGGAAAAATGTATCTCAGAAATTTATACTGGAAACAAAGAAATTTTTAGTCTTGAAAGGCAGCAAAATAAAGGTGCCCACCTCAAACTCAACCTCAAGACTTTTTACCTGAGGAGAAAGAGCAGGACCCAAAGGTCTCTGTCTATGAAACTGATTAGCATTCTTCTGTCCCGCCTGAACTATATTCACAAAAGCTTTGGAGGTTTTCACTACTTGAGAAAATAGAGTAGTCCCCCTAATCCTTGATTTCACTTTTTGCAGATTCAGTTACCCACGATCAACCATGGTCCAAAAATATTAAATGAAAAATTCCAGAAACAAACAATTCATAGTTTCATTTTTTATTTTTATTATTTTAACTTTAAAAAATATTTTTATTGCTTTCAGAGAGGAAGGGAGAGAAAGAGAGAGAGAGAGAAACATCAATGATGTTTGAGAATCATTGATGGGCTGCTTCCTGCACGCCCCCTATTGGAGACCAAGAATGTGCCCTGACCAGGAATCGAACTGTGACCTCCTGGTTCACAGGTCAATGCTCAATCCCTGAGGCACACTAACTGGGCTATTTTTTTTTAAACTTTTAAAATTAAATTTATTGGGGTGACATTGGTTAATAAAATTATATAGGTTTCAAATGTACAGTTCTATGATGCATCATCTGCCTATTGAATTGAGTATTTACCACCGAGAGTCAAATCTCCTTTCATCACCATATATTTGACCCCTTTACCCTTTACTACCTCCCATCCCTCTTCCCTCTGGTAACCACCATGTTGTCTGTGTATATGAGGTTTTATATATTTGTTTGTCTTATTTGCTCATTTGTTGCTTTCAGTTTTATATCACACATCTGAGTGAAGTCATTTGTTCTTGACTTTTTCTGACTTACTTTGCTTAGCATGACATTCTCAAGATCCACCCATGTTCACCATACTGTTGTCTGTCTACGAGGTTTTTGTTGTTGTTGTTTAATCCCTTCATCTTTTTCACCCAGCCCCCCTACTCCCTCCCCTCTGACAGCTATGAGTCTGTTTCTATTTTGTTAATTTATTATGTTCATTAGATTCCACATATAAGTGAAATCACATGGTGTTTGTCTGTCTCTGACTGGCTATTTCACTTAGCATAATACATTTCAGAAACTGTGATAAAATCTTGCACCATCACCTCTATCCCGCCCAGGACATGAATCATCCCTTTGTCCAGCATATCAACATTGTAGATGCTCCAGGCCTATTGGTCACTTAGTAGGCATCTTGGTTATCAAACCAACTGTCTTGGTATCAAAGTGCTTATGCTCTGGTAACAGTTACTTTACATAATTATGGCCCCAAAGTACAAAGGTAGTGATGCTAGCAATTCAGATATGCCGAATAAAAGCCATAAAGTTCTTTCTTCAAGTAAAAAATTTAATAAGGAAAGAAAAAAATTATATGCTGAAGTTGTTTAGATTTATGGTAGGGAGCACATCTTCTATCCATGAAATTGTGAAGAAAAAAGAAATTCGTGCTAGCTTTGCTGTCACACCTCAAACCACAAAAGTTATAGCTAGAATATGGAAGTGCTTAGTTCAGATGGACGAGGCATTAAACTTTATCATAGGTATGTATGAATAGGGAAAACATAGTATATGTAGGATTCAGTACTAGCCATGGTTTCAGGCATCCCCTCAGATAAGGGGGGGGGACTACTATAAACCCATTGGAATGGCTTCCAGTTTTACAGGGTCTCCCTCCTTACCCAGAGCGACCAGATTCCTGTAGTTTTCTAGCATCACATCTCGGTAGAGGTTCTTCTGAGCAGGGCACAGCTGGTCCCATTCCTCCCCGGTGAAGTCCACAGCCACGTCCTGGAATGTCAGGGACTCCTGAAACATCAAGTACATCCCTGCTCAGCCAGAAACAGTTTTTTAAAAAACTGAGCCCTTAGGGGAAGGAGCAAAGGTAGAGCAGGAGACAAAGGTTAGGCTGTGTAAGCCATTGTGCTGAGAGCCTTTCAGGGCTCTGAGTAATCCAGGTCAAAATTTTTTTTTTTTAATATATTTTATTGATTTTTTACAGAGAGGAAGGGAGAGAGATAGAGAGTTAGAAACATCGATGAGAGAGAAACATCGATCAGCTGCCTCCTGCACATCTCCTACTGGGGATGTGCCCGCAACCCAGGTACATGCCCTTGACCGGAATCGAACCTGGGACCTTTCAGTCCGCAGGCCGACGCTCTATCCACTGAGCCAAACCGGTTTCGGCCCAGGTCAAAATTTTTGAGACAACACTGAGTGCCTATCTTTCTATCATCTTTCAAGACAGATAAAAACATACATGAAGTAATGCTTGTTTTTCAGCTTTTTATAATCTGTTGCAGGGGAATCTCAGATCATCTAAACAATTAAAAAACAATATGGGAAATTCATGCTACAAGGTTTCAGAAGTGACAGAATTCAGGATATGCTGAAATAGTGAAAGTAGATATCGAGTTGGTGTATCTTGTGCAGTTCTTAAAAGTTTTAAGATTTGGACAGAAGAGGAGAAAGGATATTTCAGTGTCTTAAAAAAAAGTGAAAATAACCAGGGCAAATAGGTTAAGAGTAAAAGGCATATGATGCATGTCGATATCAGTAAAAGAAACTGTCTTGTTACAGGTAGGAATTTCAAATAAAAAGGGTAACATCTATATTTCCTCCATTATCAATGCTGCCTAAGCAACCCTTTTGCTCTAAGAGCAACATACTGACACACAACATACATATACCTCCTTCTCCTTCCTTCCTAACACTCCCCCACCCCAATACAATCTACTTCATGGGTACAATAATTCCAATTATTTAAGAGTGTGGTGTTCCAAACAAGTGTTCTTTCCTAAAAGTTAAGATTCAATATTTCAGGACAGTATTGGTTTTTACACTTGTTTACATATGCCTAAAAAGCTCGTTTCTACTTCCTTTTTTTAAAAATGTATTTTATTGATTTTTTACAGAGAGGAAGGGAGAGGGATAGAGAGTTAGAAACATCGATGAGAGAAAAACATTGACCAGCTGCCTCCTGCACCCCTCCTACTGGGGATGTGCCCGCAACCAAGATACATGCCCTTGACCGGAACCGAACCTGGGACCTTTCAGTCTGCAGGCCAACGCTCTATCCACTGAGCCAAATCGGTTTGGCTCTACTTCCTTTTATAACTTCTATATATCCTCACATTTCACTTTAAATTTTGCTTCTCCATAGAGTTCTTCCCTGACTCCTTAATGCACATTCACAGCACCTTATTCTTATTTTGTATAATATACATCTCAATTTGCAATTTATTATTATATTTGCTGAATGACTGTCTCTGTTAGACTATAAGCCACTTGGGCTTAGGACCATGTTTGCTTTGCTCATTGACATATACCTGATGCCACACATAATTTCTGGCACAGTGGCTGCTCAATAATATTTGTTGAAGGAATGAATCATCTTCTTTCGTAACACAATAAATGGTTCTGGAAAATTAAAACAAACTCCTCTGGCTAGAATGCCAAGAGGCACATAAGCCACATTAGTTTTCAATGTCTTTTTGTTCCTGTCTGTGGGGAGCTTTATAATTAAGCATAAACTGAATGAATCTATTCCTTGCAGACCTAAGATCCCAAAATACTAATGCACCAAATAAGTGCTCAGCTCTAGCTATTGGTCTCCTATTGTCTTAGCTCTTGCTCAAGTTTTATTTCCTTTTGCAATGGTTCAGTCTTCTCTAATTTCCAAACCCTACCTGATATCAGCACACGTTAAAACTCTACCTTCTTCATGAAGTCTTCCCTCGTCCCTCCAGTTTCAATCAGATTTCTCCCTTCTCTGAGTAATTCTTGTATTTGTTATCTCTTGCATGCATAACAGCATCCAACATTCTACTTACACTTTTAGAATATTAATTGTGTGATGTAGGCATTTAAAAATCTCTTCCAATGAGTTTATTTGCTATGTACAGATAATGATTATCTCATAGAATTTGGAACAATAGAAGTCCTCTATGTGAAGCAACTAAGACTGATATCTCATGTGCTAAGCAAAAAAGCTGGTTAAAGTAGAGATCCATAAAAGATATCTTAAACATATTATTTTAATTTAAAATATATACATGTATATTTTTGGCTAACCTTTTGATGTAAAGCGAACCTTTGTCTATGAGAGTGATTTTAATGACTAAGTGTCCATACCCATAATGTATCAGTTTCTGGTTCATTAAAGTGGAACAAGCAAATGACACTTGGGAAATAATGTAGGCATAGGATCCTCTGAGATTTTTATGATCTTTCCATCTGTGTTTTACAGTTTTGCTCACACCTAATTTGACAGCAATTTTTAAAAAATGGCATTTACTGAATCTTTCCAAAACATTCAACTAGTTTTCATAGAAACGAACAGTTATATCTCTTCAGTTTACATAATATTTAATCAAACTATAGAATTGTTAACAACAGGTTTAAACAGGTTTGGGGGAAGCTATAACGGGTTCTGGATAAAAATTAACTTGTGGCAGCAGATGTCCTCAGGCGTACTGGGTAATGCTATTAGTTCCAAGCAGTCACAGTGACCTGAGCATCATTCATTGCTTACAGTGTGGTTGGAATTCTGGTGAGCTGTGTAAGTGAAGGGTGATTATAAGACAGTCTATGGCTTCTTTTCTTTTATTTTATTTTTTCAACATCTAGCACTGACATGAGTACTTGATTTGGTAAAAATTCTGGAGGGAAAAAGAGCTATAAAGGAGTATATAAGGTGGATGGGGAACATCCAATAGAGATTATCATCTGTCACAAGAGTTGAAAGGGCTCTGGAGTTTGGGGGCTTAGCACTTCTGAGAATAGAAAAGTGAAAGTGCCCACATTCTAAGGACTACAATAGTATTTTCGAGGAGAGTAAAACTAAACTTACCTTGGACCTGACTATCTGTGGCCTATCATTCATTTCCTTCTCTTCCATGTTCCCCTCCTGAAAAGGTACAGCATTCTGAGAAGGCATAAATAGGAAAAAGAAAAAAAAAGCATCTTGTCAATACATGGTATTAAGATTGAACCTAGCCCTGGCTGGTTTGGCTCACTGGATAGAGCGTCGGCCTGGGGACTGAAGGGTCCCAGGTTCGATTCTGGTCAAATGCATGTACCTTGGTCGCAGGCACATCCCCAGTAGGGGGTGTGCAGGAGGCAGCTGATCGATGTTTCTCTCTAATCGATGTTTCTAACTCTCTATCCCTCTCCCTTCCTCTCTGTAAAAAATCAATAAAATATATTTTAAAAAAAGATTGAACCTAAAACTTGGAGCTTTTGCTTTGTGTTAAGATGACAGACAGTTTATTTATTTATTTATTTATTTATTTATTTAAAAAATATATTTTTATTGATTTTTAGAGAAAGAGGAAGGGACAGTGAGAGAGGAAGGGGAGACGAGAGAGAGAGAGAGAGAGAGAGAGAGAGAGAGAGAGAGAGAGAGAGAGATATGAGAAAGAAACACCAATCAGATGCCTCTTGCATGCACCCCAACTGGAGATTGAACCTGCAACCTGGGCTTGTGCTCTGAATGGAAATCAAACTGGTGACATTTTGGTGCACGGGATGACGTTCAACCAACTGAGCCACAACCAGCCAGAGCTATCTTTCACTTTTATTGCTACTTCCTATAGTTATTTAAAATCATTTAATGTCTCTTCCAACATTAAAAACCTTCACTGGCTACATAAGCCTTTGCACCCACCATCCTTTCTTTTTCAAGACAACATTCTTCAAAGGATTGTCCATACTTGTGTCTACATCCTCATTACCCACTGATTTTTCAATTCTCTATAATGTTGCTCCTGTTCTGCTATCAGAACTCCACTGAAATTTCCCTGGTTAGTAATATAAAAAAACCTTTAGGTTGCTCATGCGGTAGACTTCATTATTTAAGGGTTGAAGGTATCTGATATTGCTGACAGCTGTGTCTTGCTTTACTTCCATGGTCTCTCTCAGTGGGCTATGCTCTAATCCCTTTTCCTCTGCCTACCATTTATATATTGTTTTTCCTTATAATTTCCAAAATCTATTCTTGTCCTCTCCACAGTTGAAAGAAAGAAATCTTTAAAAGATATAAACCATACCTAAAAAGAAGAGTTCACTTTCTCAAATGTCAAGGCAGAGAAACAATCCATCAACCATGAATAACTATGGTAACAAATTAGCTCAGAAAGAAAATGAAAACTCTCCAGAAACCAAACTAAAAAACATGGAAAACTGTGATTTAGATGACAGAGAATTCAAGATTGTAGTTTTGAAAAAACTCAATGATATAGAAGAAAACTCAGAAAAGCAGTTCAATGAGCTCTGGAATAAAACAAATGAACAAAAGAAGTACTTTACCAAAGAGATTGAAACTATAAGATGAACCAAACATAAATCCTGGGGCTGAAGAACTCAATAAATGGGATGAAGAATGAATCAGAGAGCACGGGAAACAGAGAAGACCAGATGGAAGAGAGAATTAGTGAGCTCTAACATAGAAATGTAGAAATGACTCAGGTGGAGGAAGAGAGGGCACTGAGAGTTAAAAAAAGAAAGATGAAAAAACTCTATGAGAACTATTTGATTCCATTAGAAAAAGCAATATAAGAATGATGGGTATACCAGAAGGAGAAGATGGGAGAAAAGAACAGAGAGCCTATTCAAACAAATAATTGATGAGAACTTCCAAAACCCAGGCAAAGAGCTGAACTTTCGCATTCAGGAAGCTTTCAGAACACCTAATTATCTCAATGCAAAAAGACCTCCAAGACCCATTAAATTAAAGCTGTCAGAAGGTAGTGACAAAGAAAGAAATCTCCAGGGAGCCGGGGAAAGAAGACAGTAACCTACAGGTATAAAGGAGATCCCATTAGATTATCATCATATTTTTCAGCAGAAACCTGACATGGTAGGAGAGAGTGGAATGAAATATTTAAAAATTTAAGAGAGAAACCAGCAGCCATGAATAAATATATCCAGAGAAGCTACCCTTTATATATGAAGGAGAAATAAAGACTTTTCCCGACAAAAGCTGAGGGAATTTACCACAAGACCTGTATTACAACAAATGTTGAAAAGAGCTCTTCTACCAGAAACAAAAAGATATGAAACTCTGAGTCAGACTGCAAACACACAGACAAAGGAAGGAAATTACAACTCTATTTCAGAATAGGGTTTTAATTATTTAATTATAGCATAATGGTTAAAAGGGAAAAGCACTTAAAGGTCTCTAATTTCTGCAATTTGGAAATGAACACAGAGCACAAAATGGAATAATTTGTTACAACAAGAACATAAAAGATAAAGGGGAAAGGGCTGAACTTGCATAAGTGAATGAAGATGATGCAATCAGAAAAAAGGACTATTGTTATGTTTGAAACTTTTTTTACATAACCTAATGATAACCACTCACACACACAAAATCTGGAGTTGAGACACATAACATAAAAAAAGATAAACAGTGGAAAAACTCATAGAAAGTCACCAAACTAATATAGCAGACAGAAACACAAGAAAAAAACAAACAATGGAGATACAGGGCCACCAGAAAACAAGAACTAAAATGGCTATAGTAAATCCTCGTATATCAATAATCATCCTAAATGTAAATGGACAGAACACACCAATCAAAATGCAAAGTGTAGTGGGGGGAAGACCCAACTATATGCTACCTTCAGGAGACCCATCTCAGCTACAAAGACAAACATAGGCTCAAAGTGAAAGGGTGGAAGATGATACTTCAAGCAAATGGCATCCAGAGAAAAGTGAGTGTATCAGTACTTAGAAAATAATAGGTTTCAAGATAAATGTGACAAGAGACAAAGATGAGCATTTTATAATGTTAAAAGGGACAGTTCATCAAGAAGACATAACACTTATTAGTATATATGCACCAATGCTGGACATACCAAAATTATAAAGCAATCACTAACAGAATTGAAGAGAGAAAAATGACAAAAACACCATTATAGTAAGGGACCTGAATACTCCATTGACAACAATGGATAGATCATCCAAACAGTAAATAAATCCTATCTAATAAAAGGCAAAAAGGGTAATTGACCGTACCTTTGCTATGCTTCCCATTGGCTAATCAGGGCGATATGCAAATTAACCACCGACAAAGATGGTGGTTAATTTGCATACATAGGCTCCAAGCGGTGGCACAAAGCCAAACGTACCCGAA